ACCCATTGTTAATCGAGTGCAATTACAGCATGTTATCTGAGTGAGAAGGAAAACTATTTGAAGCCATGGTTCCTCCAGATATTTTCAAATGTTCTCAAAGAATGAGACATTTTGGTTACTTTTATGATTTTATTGACTTTTTTTCTCTTCATAACTTTAAAACAAAAACAGCACACGAAAACCAGTGTCTTTTAAGTCCCAACTCAGCTGATTGACAGATGAACATCACCATCTTACTCCTCTGAATAACTAGACACAAATAACAGCAAGTTCGTTTCTGCCCACCCCAAGACACAGACACAGTCAACCCCAGGGGCCCCAGCTCTCTGCCTATCTTCTCTCAGCTGTTCCTCCCATCTGCTAAGATGGGCCTTCCTGATGGCTCTCTCAAGGTGGGTCAAGTCTGAACTAGAGGAAAGCACAGGCCAGGTCCACCATCCCCTCCCACTGGCCACCAGCTGGCCAGCCAGGAAATCATTTCTCTACATCTTTTGTCTCCCGCCTTTTCTCTCCCTCTCTCTTCTCCAAAATTTGTTGCTATCACTTGGATGTAACAATGGACCTAGTGTCCATTAAACTGCCTGAGAAGTGGTTTGAACCTGATGTATTTTCCTGAGCTAAAAAAGAAAAAGTACCCCTGTGGCCTTCCTGCCATTAAGATCAAGTGAAAAAAAAGGACAAGCACTATTGAGAAGGGTCACATTAGAAAGGCTTTAGAATCCTCGCTCAAACCCTGACAGTTTCTCTTGCTGTAGCTCTTAAGGGTATAAAAGGGCAAATATTCTGGGGTCAAGCATGGGGGAAACATATTTATTTTCCCCTTTTAATCTTCCCTGCTGCCCCAGTTTTTGCCTTCTTCTTAGCAGATCCCTTAGGTTCTGGCTCCTTGCGCTTAGCTGAAGAGAGCGAGCCGGTCACCTTGAAGAAATCATCCAGGCGGCCCTGGGTGCTGCCTTGGCGGCTCTTGCTCAGCCTCTTGACCCCGCTGCGGATTCGCTCCTCAGAGAACTGCTTTTCGCCACACATGAACTTGACCAGCTCTTCTTCATTTGGCTCGCTCCACTTCAGCTCCACAGACTCTGGGTCCAGCACCTCAGGTTCCAAGAAGAGCTGGTGGGCCTCCCTGTGGAGCCAATTTTCTGGCACAGGGTACTTGTTGGGGTCGAGTCGGCGCACTATCTCCTCAATGCTCTTGTGCTTCTGGATGAGGTCCACAGCCCGTTTGGGCCCAATGCCCCGGATACTCTCACAGTAGTCACTGCCCAGCAGGATGCACAGATCCACAAACTGTTCCTGGTTCAGGCCCAGCTCCTGCAGAATCCGGCTCAGGTGGAATTCCTGGATGGGCAGCTTTTTGGATTCACTGGCAGTCAGGTGTCGCATTAGCACAGGGCTGCCAAAGGTGAGGCAGTCCATGTCCTCGGTAGCCGCAGCATAGACCTTGCCAGCCTTCACCAGGGCAGCACAGCTAGCCTCTGCCTCGCTGGGTGCATCAAGATAAGGGATGCCCATGAGGCTCAGCAGATGCTTGCACTCATCGTTGTGCTGCTTAGTGACCTTCACCAGCCGCTTAGTGAATTTTTCCACCTCCTGCTCGGCCCCAGCAGCCTGAGCCTGCTGCAGCTGCTTCTCTGCCTCAGCCCGCCGTTCACTGCGTTTGGCCAGCTCGCCTGACTTGAGCTGTGGTGGCTTGCCATCAAAGACATACACGGGCTTGATGCCATTCTCCATCATGCGGATAGTGCGGTAAAACATGCCCATCAGGTGGCTGGTGGTCTCACCCTCCTCGTTCTGCAGCACATCCCCACCCTGGCGAACAGCAATCAGGAACTGATAAATGCTCATAGAGGCATCAATGGCCACCTTACGGCCAAAGTAGCTCTTGATGTCATTCTCCCGGATGGCACTGGGGGCCACATCAGCAATTAGTTTGGCCAGGCCTTGAATTCCCATGGCAATACAGAGGGATGACTAAAAAAGAAAGGCAAGTCAGAGATGGAGGAAAGGAGAAGGGTTATAATTGGCGTTATCTCACCAACTTCGTGTCTTCAGCTAAATTCCACATAAAAAGGACACCAAGTCAGCACTGCTGAAGATAAAAAGATGAAGAAGACAAAGTCCCCGTTCTCAAAAAATTTAGTCTAGCAGGTGAGTTTACTCAATAGTAAAAGTACCAGAAATTGAACCAGGTGCTTAGAGAAATAAGATAGTGTTGATATTCTAAGGCAGCAGCATTATTTATTATACCAAAAAAAGCTACAACCTAGGTCTCCATCAAGGACCACTGAAGGCCAGAGTGCTTGGCCCGGCTTGAGGAGTCTAGGGACCATAATGGCAAACCTGAAGACAGGCAAATACACCAGCTAAACAAATAGATCTGATTTGTTTTGAGTGTCTGGAGAACCCTGACTGATAAGGCAGCCTTGAGAAAGGACTGCAAATGTAACATCTGAATGGAGGTGATGTGGCTTCCTCACAAGCTTCTCTCATCTCTCTGTCATCGCCTCAGCACATAAGAGTTTCTACTTTTATTATGATGTTGCTAGAGTTTCAAGCTTTCACTTTGCATTTTCTCTCCACCACTCAGTCTGAAATGTTAACTCCATGGCTCTTCCCTGGGTCCTGATTTTGGGATCTGGCATTCTACAGTCACTGGGCTGTGAAGGAAGTACAAAAAATGATTGTACTTCAGAGCTGATCGGCACCTGATCATGTCTTTGTTTTGTTTTGTTTGTTGTTTTTTGAGACGGAGTTTCACTCTTGTGGTCCAGGCTGGAATACAATGGCGTGATTTCGGCTCACTGCAACCTCCACAGCTCAAGGGATTCTCCAGCCTCAGCCTCCCAAGTAGCTGGGATTACAGGCATGTACCACCATGTCCAGCTAATTTTGCATTTTTAGTAGAGATGGAGTCTCTCCATGTTGGTCAGGCTGGTCTCAAACTCCTGACCACAGGTGATCCACCAGCCTTGGCCTCCAAAGTGCTGGGATTACAGGTGTGAGGCGCCTCACCCTGCCATCAAGTCTTTCTTATGGCAGCATTTCCCAAATCACCCTCATGATTTTTGCCACTTCCAACTAAAATCTGTACTTGTATTCATTTAGAATTTTTTTAAAAACTAAAACTAAAAAAGAAAAATCATCATAAGCAATACTATTTCTGTTCTATCAGTTATATTTTAATATGTGTTAAACGTATAACTATTAAAAAGGATTTTTAGTGGTTGCAATTTAAAGTCATCTTGCCATCCTGGCCAACATGGTGAAACCCCGTCTCTACTAAAAATACAAAAAAAAAAACAGAACAAAAAAAATTAGCTGGGTGTGGTGGCATGCACCTATAATCCCAGCTACTCTGGAGGCTGAGGCAGGAGAATCGCTTGAACCTGGGAGGCGGAGATTGCAGTGAGCTGCGATCGTGCCACTGCACTCCAGCCTGGTGACAGAGCGAGATTGTGTCTCAATAAGTAAATAAAAGTCATTTTGTACCCACTGGTGGTATGTGTCCAACACTCTAAGATATATCCTACCAGGGCCAGGCATAGAGGCTCTGGTCAGTAATCCCAGCACTTTGGGAGGCCGGGGTGGGAAGACCACATGAGCCCAGGAGTTCCAGGCTTCAGTGAGCTATGATTGTGCCGCCAAACTCCAGACTGGGCAACAGAGCAAGACCCTGTCAGGAAAGAGAAGGAGAAGAAGAAGGAGACAGAGAAGAGGAAGAAAGGAAAGGAAAAAGGAAAGGAAAAGGAAAAAAACGGGAAGAGAAGACTCCACCAAGCTTTTTCACTGTTCCCACTCTTCCTTCACAGGGTTCTTTCTAGAGTATTAATGACTGTTCAATTCTTCCTTCTAATTCAGTACAAACACTTCAGCATGGCATCAAGCTCTTTCATGTTCTGATTCCCAACCTAACCTTATATTCTGGAATCTCACAGAAAGCTGGAATAAGGCCCGCCTTTCCCCACTTTTCCTCAGCTGTGCCCTCCTCTCGCCATCCTCTCACGCGTCCTTCCAAGTCCATCCCATTTGATTAACATGAATAATTCCCCCGTGAATTGCAGCGGCAAAAGCTCTGGCCTTGAATCTAGGCGCATCATTTACCATCCGTGTGATATTTACCAAGCCACTGAGGTTTATTTTCTCGTCTACAAAAGAAAGATAACCATTACCTGTCTCTCAGGATTGCTGCCAGAGTTAACTGAGACAACAGATGGAAACCTCTAATGTCCCCTTTCCAGACCCTTTCAACCCTTCAGCTCTTACTCAAGCCGGCCGTGCTGCTGGCGTGTGGACCGAGGACCAGGCCGTGTTAGCCCTTGATCACCTCGCGGCGTCAGGCAGGAAAGGGACCTCAACAACTCAAGTGTCAGAACTGTTTCTCGTCCAAGGTCTTAGGAAAAATACAACATGGCCCCGTAGGAGGGAACTTACTGCCGCCTTTCTATAATGGAAGAAAGAGAGGCTGGGAGCTTGCGCGACTGGCCCAAGGCTCACAGCGGGAAAGTGGCTGGACCGCCTGATGGCGAATACCGCGCGCACTCCAGACCCCGGTTCCCCACGACTCCCAGCGCCAAGCGGACGCCGTCGCTCCGGAAGGTGCTTCCCATGGGGTCTCACCTGGCCTTTGGGACACGAGGCCTTGGCGGCTAGAGCTTGGTAGGAGTTACCAAGTGCCAGCGGTGCTAAGCCAGCTCTCCCCGCTCAACTTAGCCGCAGGTCTGCTGTCTCTCCGCCGCCTTCCAAAGCCCGCGCTCCCGTCACGTGACCTGCCGACCACGCACAGCCACCTGGGGAGTGTAGTGCATGCCACGTCCCCTCAAACGGCTACTCTCATGGCAACCAGTACTGCCAGGGAGAACGACTTTCTCAGCGACCCTGTCCTACCCTCCTCCACAACCTGTCCCCACTCCACCTGCACCAGGTCCCCGCAGGCCCCAGCTCCGGGTACATCCGAAATCACACGACTACAAGTCCCACAGTGCAACTTGCGCTGGAGGTACTTCCTTTTCCGGTTGCATTAGGAGCCTGCTCCTGCAGACGTGTTCTTCCGGTGGCGGAGCGGCGGCTTAGCCTGAGCTGGGCAAAATGGTGAGATGGTTGAGGGGAGTTCCTCACTGGGCTGCGAGGACCCCTCGGGGTCTGACCTACACCGCGCTTCTCTCCTCAGACGCCAGTGGTTCAGAGGGCTAGACGCTCATGGAACCTCCGGCTTGGGCTGAAAGGTGGGGAAGGGGGAAGCCCTTGCCATGAACTCCTTAGGTTTCTGAGCTAGCGATTTCTAAGGATGAGGGGCGTGGGGCGTATTTTTAGTACCTTCCAGTTTGTATATCTCTGTTATCTGTGGTGTGTTATCTTTATCTGGAAAGTTCTTCTACCGAAGAACTTCTTGAGCCCATCCTACGATGCCCTGGGCAAATGTTTCTTGATGAAGCACTTCCAACTTTCAGGCACTTGGCCAGACTCTCCTAGGAGCGCCCACAGCCTCTGTACAGACCTCTGGCTACGTTTCGTGGACTTCTTTGTTTTCGGCCACACCTCCCAGTGACCACCGTCTGACGCGCATCTAGCTCTGGGATGATGTCTATTCATCTTTGTATTCCCAGTGCCAAACAGAGGGCCTGTAATTGGAAGCTCAATAAATGGCAGCGATTGTCTTTATCATTTTGGGGGAAGGGGGCCGTGATTGTTTACTGAATTGAATTCCAGTGTCTCAGAACAATGGGGTCAGTTTACTTCTCTAGAGTTGTTATGTTGTGGATTTTAGAAGCATTGGCTGACGGGTGACAATGAAGTTAACATTTCTACAGGACTTTACGTTTACATCCCTCTTTCATAGGCAATATCTTATCATCTTCCCTACAACCTTAGGAAAGAAGCAAATACCTATTGAGCAAAATACTCTCTGCCAGGAACTAGACTAGATGCTTTGATTCATAATCTTTTTTATACATCTGTTCTGTGAAATAGATATTACAATTACTTTACTCAGACTCGGATTACTCAGTAGAACCAGAACTTTAATGTCTTTGCTCATAGCTCACAAGATTCCATAATAGCATACGTAGTGAGGAAAATACTGAATTGGAAATTAAGGCCAGTGGGGTAGCTCACACGTGTAATCCCAGAACTTTGGGAGGCCGAGGCAGGAGGATCATGAGGCCAAGAGATTGAGACCATCCTGTGAAACCCCATCTCTACTAAAAATACAAAAATTAGTTGGGTGTGGTGAGGCGTGCCTGTAATCCCAGCTACTCCAGAGGCTGAGGCAGGAGAATCGCTTGAATCCAGGAGGCAGAGGTTGCAGTGAGCCAAGGTCCTGCCACTGTACTACACCTGACCTACAGAGCAAGACTCCGTCTCAAAAAAAAAAAAAGATACTGAGATCTGGGTACCACCAGTCAGTGACTTAGAGCAGGGGTTCTCCGCTTGGAGTCTCTAGACATTGGTCCACAAAGCTCCGGAAATTGTAGGCACACTTTTTTTGTATGTAGTTTTTCTCAGGCAGAAAGTTCATACTTTTCATCACATTTTCATAGTGGTGAGATCATTGGCCTCAGAAAATGCTAAGGACCATTGATCTGCAGCTAAACACCTTCTGTGTCTCAGCCTCTGACTCTCAGCAGCCCTTCTTGTCTCATATTGAAAAGATAAAGTGTCTCCTCAGTTTTGAGATAGCACTGTGACCGTCACTCATACTGAATGAGTTGCTGTTGGTTGGGAAGGATTTCCACATTTCCCGGCTGAAATCAGCTTTCACAGCAGCGCCAGGCTCCTCGATAACCCCACGTTCTCTCCAGGCTGAAATTGTGGGATTCTTTGCTAGCTCTGATCTCTTGTCCTCCCCTAGGAGCTTGAGGCCATGAGCAGATACACCAGCCCAGTGAACCCAGCTGTCTTCCCCCATCTGACCGTGGTGCTTTTGGCCATCGGCATGTTCTTCACTGCCTGGTTCTTCGTGTATCCTTTCACTGAGCAGCCAGAGGACCAACGTTAGTGATATGGGAATCTGAGGGAGAAACCACGCTAGGTACATGCGCCCTGCCAGTTTTGTACACTGGATTGAGGCTGAGAGAAGGTAAGGAGGGGAGGAAGGCTGGTGATGCCCAGGGAAGATTGTGGCCTTATTTCCCAAGCTCAGTTGAACTCAGTTTGTTCTGTGGATTTCCAGGACAGTGAGCAGGGTGCCTGGCTGGAGTGGAGGTGGGATAGGAGAGCTGCAGTTAGAAAGGTGGTATAAGGAAGGGTGCACTCAGGTGTCGCGAGGTCAGAGGGCTAGTCCCAGCTCCTGTCCTCATGAGCTGTGTGACCTGGGGCAAGTGACCTAACTCCTCTGGGTCTCATTTTCTTCATGGCAGTGGAGCACCGGAGTCCAGGGTATCTCTTAGGCCCCTCTGCCTGCCTGCCTGCTCTGAGCCAGATAGGCTCCCCAGAAGACACGGAGCCAATACCTTTCTCCTCAGAGTCCCACTGCCTTGGCTGTCTGTACTCCACAGTCCATTTCTTTGCTTTGCCTTAACTGCTGTGCCCAGTTACGAGGTCACCTCTACCAAGTACACTCGTGACATCTATAAAGAGCTCCTCATCTCCTTGGTGGCCTCACTCTTCATGGGCTTTGGAGTCCTCTTCCTGCTGCTGTGGGTCGGCATCTATGTGTGAGCACCCAAGGGTAAGAGTTGCAATGGGGTGGACACGTGAGCCTCCAGGGCGCAGCCCGGGGAAGCCTCTCCATAGTCAGGTCAGCAGGGTCCTTAAGGCTCTTACCAGCATGACCCCTTGTTTGATGGAGACAGACTCAGTGGAATGGGAAGGGACAGTGGACACTTGTTCCTCTTTCTCTGCCCCTCATACGGATTTGAGCCAAGTGTGACTGACTGTGTTAGTTCTGAGTTCACATGGCCTAAGGCCTCCATCTGCCTTTGGGATGTACCATGTAAGAGTGTGGGCACAGGCTTCCCAGGGTTGTACATTTAAGTCGGGCCCCAATGATTTGGAGAGGCTGCTGGGAAGTCGGCTGGCTGGAAGGGAGTCAAGATCTGGGGCTTAAAACTTACTGCAGAGGCCGGGCGCGGTGGCTGAAGCCTGTAATCCCAGCACTTTGGGAGGCCGAGGCGGGTGGATCACGAGGTCAAGAGATCGAGACCATCCTGGTCAACATGGTGAAACCCCGTCTCTACTAAAA